CAACTGAGAATTGTATACTGTACACAAGGAAACCTGGTAATGGAGACTTATATGGACACGCAATACCAAATACTGATGGCTGCTCTTACAACCTTAAATAGCTGGACAGGTTACATCTAAGACTTTGAGGATGTACTCCTGAATCGGGCAGCAGCATCTTTCTTTACTCCTCAGACTTTTAGCAAAACCAAACCAGAGGCAGGCCAAAGTTATACTTGGCCACTGAGCCCTGTTGTCTTCAGTAAATCTTTGACCTGTATGGGAGATAATACACTGGTCTGACGTAGTGTAACACTTTTTGTGCACAGGTTCAACATTCCTTAGGAATACAACTCCATGAACAACATCCTGGTTCATATCTGTCTTAAAACATCCTTTATAGTTCAAGCAGAGCACATAATTGTTATATTTCTGGAAAAGTATGTAATCTCTTAAAAGATCTATAAATCAGGAAGCAAATATTTAGAGAAATGTTTTAGAAGGCAAAGGGTCCTTGCAGATATTTCCAATTTACAAAGCTCCAGCCCCATTCTTCTTGCACTGGCTTTACCCCACTGTGACTCCCCTAAAAGCAATGGGGTTCATTCAGTTTTGTACTCATTTAAGTGAAAAAAAAATTGGGCTCTTTGGCCAATTCTTTCTGAAGAAAGAACGATGCAGCAGCAAGAAAATGAGAGGACCCGGCAGCATGGCTCCATCGTTAGCAGTGTTTCTTGCCGAACAAACCCAACTCAGACTTTTAATCCTGTAGATCCTCTTCTGGGTGGGGAGTGATAACTGTCTGGTTTTCTTAAATCACCCTGTTGGAAAGCTTGGGGAATAACATTTAAAACACCAAGGCATTCTGATATTTTAGAAACAGACTTAACCTGAGACACCATTGTAAACGGTGACAGGACATTGTAACATCTTTCAGCGTGGGCCACTAAGATGAGATGCTCCCATGCCGATGAAAGCACAACTGTTAGACTGGATGCAGGGTTTGAGAAGTGGATGGAAGAGGTGCCAGCATGATATGCTGATCTAACGTACACACGTTCAGACAGTTTTATGCAATCTACTTCCTCTTGTTTTATCCATGATCTGGACTTAACAATTGGAAATAATCTATCCAGGACATGTGCTCACATTTTGAATGGTTTGCGTGGGTTTAATACAAATATTAAGGATGCTAATTATTATGACCGACTGGAAATTCTCACTTTGTAAGCACTTGCATGGGCACTTCTGTCAACTAATGCAAATAGCCTCATACCATCTATACCTGGGTTGTGTTTGGATGGGCACCTGAATTCAAATTAGATGGATGAGTTGTGGGTGGCCTTGTTTGTGTAGAGTGGGTTAGGGAGTAGGCAGGAAACGTATAGACTTTTGTGAGAAGAAAACCTTTTCTTTTTCCTTTTTCTGGAGTCTAATTCTGCTCAACGTGTGCTCTTTGGCTTTGGGTGGGAAGGAAGGAAGGAAGATTGAGGGTTTGTTCAGTGGGGTTTGTGTTTTGGGGGTGTTTTTTTGGTAAGTGCTCTTTTAAATTTGTGGAGACTTAGAGAAGTTTCTCTGTACCAAAAAATTAACACACACTGTCCTTTGTAAAACAGAGCATTTTGAGAACGGCTGTGGCTGATTGACTAGGAGTTGAGGTTCTAATGTTGTGGGTATAGGAAAAGCAAAGTGCTCACACGGGCAGCAAATTCCCTCCCCCACCAGTGCACTGGGCCCTAGCCCTGTTGGGATCCCACTGACTTTAGAGCAGCTACTTTGGTGTAAGGATAGACTTAATCCTACTTTTATAAGGCTGTTGGGTCAGGGATGTAAATGGGTAAACATACAGAACCAGCTAGTGGTGGTTTGCCATTAGTGAAAACACCACAGATGGGTTTCGGTGTCTCAGGTGTTGACTTTTTGAGCATCGCAGCAGAGAGATTATTGCTCTAGATGGCAGCAGTACTGGTCATAAGTCAGGTGAAAACTTTCTGGAGACCAGTTAGAGTCAAAGCAATGTATCTATTGGCAATGCGTGTGGTGAAAGGCAGTGGGAGATGGTCACCACTGCTTGAAGAAATGAGGTCTGATGCCAATGACTCTGAAGACATCTGGGCCAAGATAGTGGAGTCGCTTGAAGACGTTGCATTTCTATAAGGTCACTTGATGAGGGAGAGCAAACTAGGCCATGATTACGTAATGGAAATGCCCACCCTTGCCACCTCCACTTGTGTATGTTGCTTGGCTTTTTTTGCAGGTTTGTGTGTCATTAAGACCATCACAGAAGGTGGCATACAACTAAAAATTCTTGGTTCGGACCTCCTTGTGCAGGCAGATGGGTCCCTTGGAGAGAGCAGTTGGAAGCTGGCAGAAGTAAAGCTGGAGTGTGGGCTTTTTAGCAAATTTTAATTCTCTGCCTCATTGTTAGCTCAGGAAAGCTTAGGGGACAGATGCCAGAGATGCATTTTATCTTCAGAAGGAAAAATACCAGTGAATATAGCATATGATCAAGAATTTGAGTATATAGACAGAGGAATCCAGGACCAAATGGGGCCCATCCCAGATTCCTAAAGAAAGTATCCAAGCCAGATGTTTATAGTTCCTTTGGGACAGTCAGGCACTGATGGATTGGTGACAAGTAGCAGAATACATGTTTTAGGCAGGTTCAGAGATCTGAAGTCTAGTTAAATTGTAGGATGGTTGACATGACCACTCAGAGGAGGAACACATCCAACAAATCCAGTGGAGGTGTTCAAGTGTGCCACTGGGGGTGAAGTTGTGGACCTCGTCAGTCTTGAAGAAGGGTTATCGCTGTACACCAATGACACTTGCACCCAGAAGCATTAGACAGTATAAAGCTTGAGAGCAGTTTTCACTGCTGAGCTAGAAGGAGGAAACATATACAGCAAGATGTTTGTCGGCTGAATTGAGTGGACCACTCTCTTTTGAAGAGCAAAGGAATTTAGAAAAATAGTGACTTGTTAAACAAGTGGTCTATGCAATGTGGAAAACCATACGCTGACAGCGAAAGACCAAATAATAGAAACAACATTCCCCAGTCTTCATCAGAAATCCAAGCTGGCAAAGGAATTGGGGTTATTTTTTATCCAGTTCAAACATTTCTATTTTATTAAACATCAGAGAGAAGTCAGAATTCTGGTGGTTATAGCTAAAGGTGAAATAGCTTGAATGATGTCCAAGACCTCCATGGGTGCAGTTGGGATGGTTTCAGATCTAGTTACTGGAGGAGAATTCTGGGGCTCTGGAGCAGTCCTTTGTCAACCTTTTTTGTACCAGGACCCATTTGGAAACATCAATGGTCAGTCCTGACCCAGTGCCCCTCATTCCTGACCTGTGTGTGGGGCAGGGGGTGGGTGTGTGGGACATGGGGGGCCCCAAGCAGTCCCTTGCAGGCTGTCAAAGGAAAAGCCACAGTTTCCTACCTTTTTATCCTTGAAAGGAGAATCCATGTTTAAAGTTTGTTCATGACCCTTTCATATCTTCTTGCAACCCCCTTTTGGGTTGCGACCCACGGGTTGAGAAGCACTGCTCTGGAAGGTAACTGGAATGAATGATACAGAGACTTTTGAATTCTGTTTTCAGAACCTAGAAATGAGGTCTCTGTCCTTTACAGAATATAAAAGGGATTTGGGAAATATGTGATTTTTTTTTAAAGGAATGAGAAGAAATAGTAGATTTGGCCTTCTGCAATATGCAAGATTAGGAAGGGTTTTGGGCTTTAAATGCAGTTCCCTTGTGTGGAACTGATAGAATACCTTGGCTTTTTTATTTTTGTAACTTAGAAACAAGTAATTGGAGAATGCAGGCATTGCTGCTGCTTTGGAAGTGAGATGAGAGATGGGCATTGATTTCCAGGTTTCTTCCATCTAGATATTTTTGGTGTTCTTGGCCCACTCCTGAAGCTTTAACTTCAGAGAGTATTTTGCCTAAATACTTCAGGTATGTTAATGTTAAACACTGATTTTTACAAAAAGAATGTCTGGAAATAGACAAATGACCTTTGCAAGGATTCAGATTACAAGAAGGCTTTATAGAATGTCAGAATAGATTAATAATACTGTTAATAAGAATGATAATAATGATGGCAAACCTAGAGACTAAAGCATGCTGAAATTTAACATTATGGCCACAGGTTCAGATGGTACTGCACCCTGGCGTACGTCACTAAGGCTGTGTATTGCAGAAGTCTGGGAAAATAATGATGGCATTGACAGCAGCCTGCCCAGTGTCTATATGGGGATGGCATACAGTGTATAAATCCAGATTCCAAGGTTGCAATAATACCACAAAAATAGATACCAAACAGCAGAGCCAATTAATCCTTTCACACAGTGACTATAAAGTTCTGATATGCATAAATCAGTATTTTCTGCTAGGCCACCATGTGCCTGGTAACATTTTTAAGGCAATATGCTCTTTAAAAAAAAACCTTCTGTGCAAATTCAGTTATGTAAACCTAGATGTGAGTAGCACCCACACATTTTTTTTTTTTTTTTTGCAATCGGCATTAGGAGCAGCACATAACTGGCTTGTAAGGTGGAGACCCTTATTAGAGGAAGTATTGTTTTATGTGAACAGAAGACATCTGGTTTATATAAAACAGCTACGTGCATTCGTTTCAAGGATTATAGCTACAAATATAGCTCCACAAGACAGACATTTCATAAAGAACCCAGCATTTTTCAGAGATTCTTCTAGAGTCATCTATACTCATGTACTGACAATAGTAATAAATTTCTATGGAGAAGTCTGTGAATTCCAGAGGTTCTGCAAATTATACCAACTGAGCTGTTACTGGCCTTTTAGGAATAATACAGAGTTCCCTGACCTTTATATTTGCACACAAGAGACCACGTTTTTTCTCTTTCTCTTTTTTGCTTTTTCCTGTTCTAATTATTTTCAAAGCAAATGGGGAACAGTCCATAGTAGTGGAAGCACTAATTTATTTACTGAAAATACAAAATGTTACTTTCAAAATTACTTAACTCAAGCAACAACAGATATACACAGAATGGGATTTTACACATGTTGGACAGAAATAAGAGAATCAAGCCACGACCAGAAAGATTCCAGAACTGCAAAGATGTGTTTGATTTGATCCTAACGTGTGAAGAGAGAGTCTATGATCAAGTAGTAGAAGGTAAGGACCTTGGATGGTTAAACCAATTTTCTTTTGATTCCTTTTCTGAATTTGAAGACAGACCCAACTGCTGTTAGCTGGAAGATCCATCTAGGAAAGAAGTTGGAACCCAGGATTTAGGGGCCTTGGCCAAATATTTACACCAAATATTTATTTGCAAAAGGCATTGGTAGCTCTTCAGTGTGTTGTGCAGGTGTGCCACCTTGGAGGGTAGCAGGCATTCTTCCTTCTCTAGGTACAGGATTGGAGAGGCAGTCACGGGAACCCAAGTGGTCTGGCCGAGTGAGGTTTTCAAAATGCTCCTGGGGTTGAAGCGTAGCAGGGTGGATGTGATGGGCACTCTAGATTTATGATGAGGCCACCTCCTTGTAAGTCAGGAGATGAAGGAAGCATCTGACTTCACTCAGTGCAGAAGTTGTCTTCTGCACATGCAGCGATACAGAAGACCAGGTGTGTCCATTAGTAATACAGCCAAGGTCACGTTAAGAGTAACCAGGATCTCATAACTAAAGCTAACCCACTGCACTGTGTCCACACACCAGCATGTTTCTTGGCACTATCATTGCTTGGACATGCTGGTCTGACCATATCTGCCACACTATATGACTGGGTCTGAGTATCCTGGGAGAGCTGCCTAGATTTTTCCCTGTGGTATTGATTCAGCTGAAGATGCCAGGGGCAGAGGGTTGTGGGTGTCATTTCCACCGAGCACAGCACCACGTGATGTCTCCCCTGCCCACACAAATCCAAGTGTGACATGGTTGGGAAGACTGAGATGATTTTTATGCTTCTGGCTCCTTTGTGTTTTTCCCTGCACTCAGTTTAATTTGTTGCAAAAGAACAGGCCCAAGTTATGTCGTCTTCTGGACTTCTCACAAGGTGTTGCACAGAATGAAATGTCAGAGGTGTTAAAAATGAACTTCAGACAAAAAAGTGCCATGTGGTTTCAGCGGTCTGTTAGTGAACATGCATTTTAGGCACACAGCAAATGTTGTAAATAACATTTGGAAGGCAATGGACACTTGTTATACAAGCTTGGGCAGTAAATCTAGTGGTCTCTCACAGAAAGTCCCCATCCCTTTACTTGTTTAAGTATTTACACTTAAATGCAAGGTTTCAGTGTAACACAACACCTGTCTACTTGTGCGCATGCACGTAAATACTTTCCCCTCTGGTCTTTTTCAGAGGTGGTTTCTCCATTCATAGAGTGGCCCTGATATGTAGCATGTGTCACCTAGACTCTTGACCATGTGAGGAGCATGAGAGCCTCTCGCTACTTTTCTGGGTACTTCTGAGCCTAGTCATCAAGCCATTGGGAGTTTTCTTTGGGTAGCAGAGGCCTTTGTACTGACTGGTCTTCAGTGGCTGGTGAAAGGAATCTGTAGCTGTTTTCCAAAGCGAACATACAAGCGTTCATTGTAACAAACACAAGAATTGCAGTTTAATACCCAACTGTAAATCCTACAGCCTGGGCAGCCTCTAGGCATGATGAATGCTTCCCTTTCGGCTTTCCCTCTATATCCATAAAACACCATGGTGAACCACCCAGTATCCTCATGAAGGGCCTTGCCGTGACGATGCTTTCCTCTGACTAGCATGTGACACCAGTATTGAATCTTATTAGCCTTCACAGCAGAAACATCTCTTGGTTCAGCATCAGTCAGCTGCAGAGTCCCCAGGGCTGTCCTTCACTCCTGCATTTATAACAGCCTTGCCCCCTCCACCACTTAGGCTGTGCCCTGGCTCAGCTCTTGGCAGTGAGCATGACCTGCCAGACAAATTACCCTTGACCTTTCTTGACCGCTTCAGAAATGGCCCTGGAACGTGTGGCAGATATGAGACATCCTATTTCTAGGCCCTGCTTGTCAAGCAGCCCCATCTCACCTGACATGCACAGGAGCAGAGCATTCAAACCAGACATCTTGGTCATCTCTTCTTCCTTCTTTGCTCTTCCTTCCCACATTCAATGTAGAGTACATGAATTACTTGGGAAACTGGCTGGTCCCATCCACGCTGCACCATAACAGTCATAGGCAGGGTCAAAGTAAGGCATGCCAGAAGTCACGAGCCATGGGTTGAAATCCCACACAGGCCCGCAGTCGCCTATCCACCAGCCTGGTTGTGAACTCACTGAAAGCTGTAGCACATATGACCCCATAGTCTGAACGCTCTCCAGATCGCATGGTGGTATCAAGGAAAACTGAGAGTATGTAGGAAGAAAAAAAGGAAAGCTGGTTCCTGTGACCCTTAAAAAGAAAAGCAACTCGCATAAAGCTGTGATGCTCCATAGCAAAGCTTCTGCTCCATTATTTTACTAATGAGTCCCGTCAACATTATCATCACTATAAGTTGCACGCTCTGCCTCATGAGGTTGGGCTTTTACTACTCAATAGGAGTTAAAAACTCCTGCATTAACCATCCCTGTAAGTTCAGAGCGCTTGGCTCCAGCACAAGGTGTTAAAATCAGCATGGAGTACAGGCAGGGTCTTAAGAGAACCATACAGCATAGATGTAATGACATTTTGCAGTCACATTGCACTTTTTATCCATCACAGAGGTAAGAGGTATTGTCTCCGTCGTACAGCTGGGGAAACAGCTCTTGCTTGGGGTTTAATAGTGAGTCAGTGTCAGTACCTGGAACAGCACCCAGCCTCTTGCTGTACTCACTAGACAGGCTCCCATGATGGTGAGGGAGTTGCCTTTAAATTCACAGGGCAGCCATGTGAATCTAGGATCTTATACATTTAAGAGAGTTCCTGCTTGCATTCTTAATCTCCGTTGTCATGTTGCCAGCTGTATAAAGCACTGTGCACTTGCTTCGGGTTTGTCATCTGAACAGTGGCAGAACTCGGGGCTTGTTAAGGGAACTGGTTTGAAATGACACTGATAGGTTTTATGAGCAATAGCTCTGAGATCTGAATGAATATCCTGTCAGAGAGCAGCCTTTGCCCTGGTATTTTAAGAGAGCATTTCTTGCATAGGGGTTGGGAAGAGAGGGCCACCACTTGTTAATTCACACATTGTGCACCTCTTTCTCTGTGTGATGACACCCTTCAGAAATAGCAAATGAAAGAGCTTGAATTCTGCCAAGTGGCTCCTGCTGTGAACGGAGACTGAAATTTTAAAGTGGAGTTTCTGGACGGGTTGGCCAAGCTGATGTTGCAGGAGGCAGGCAGGAGTGAGAGCCTCTCATTGTTAATACAGGGCACTTTAATGGAAGCCTGTAGTGCAGAGAAGTACAACAATATCAGATAATCCACAGCCTTGCAAAAACTGCTTACCTGGGAAGAGCTACTTGTTTTGCGTTGAATGAAATGCATTATGATCCGGATTTTCTAAAGTGACTAGAAATCCTGAATGCTTTGATTTTGGGGGGAATCCAGCTTGAGACACCTTTAAACGACCCAGTCTTCATGGTGTGAGCACAGAGCGTTCTCTAAGAATCAGACCTCTGAGTCACAAGGCACTGTTGACAATCTTGGCCTAGGTCTTTCAATGGCCATTGAAGTAAATTCTGGGCAAATAGCTCTTCTGCCTGGACTGATAAACTCTCATGGCCATTTTGCAGGGCAGATTGATCATTTGATTTCTCTAGTCCATCTCTTGTCTTGCAAGTCCCTTGGGGCTCTGCACAACAAAATAGAAAACCACACAATGAACTGAGCTCTTAAAACAAGGTTGAGGGAAGACTAAATTGGGATGCCACTTTTCTTATTTCCCTGCCACCTTCCCCTTAAGAATATTCTGCGTGAAACATGATTTTTCATGAAGGGTCACTCTTCTCTTGTCTTGTCTGTTCCCAACTAGATTTAAATTCCAGAGAACAGGAGACGTGCCAGCCAGTACATGTGATCAACGTGGACATCCAGGATAATCATGAGGAGGCAACCTTGGGAGCTTTTCTTATCTGCGAGCTATGTCAGTGTGTAAGTATAAAGTCCATGTTTCCTATCCATGCCTGGGCCATAGTTGATTTCTTTTTTTCTAACTTGATTACAAGTTGGTTGATTTCTTTATTATTTAAAAAGAAAGGCACTTCTTAGAGTGCTGTCTATGGAAAATGATTAAGTTTTATGTGAAGCTTTACCTAAAGCAAACTCCATGTCAACAGTGTTTCCAAAATCTTTCCCTGGGATTTTTCTTTGGCGCTGATGAGTCTACATGGATGAATCATCATTGAATTAATGTTTTTTTAGAGGGGAAAAAGAATGTTCAAAGCAAATATATAATTAGCCATGATACTTGTGCTTGATGAATGCTCAGTGCTTTTAGCTACTATTGTTTAAATGCAGTATTGCACCGCACTGAATACGTTGGCACGTATTAAACATCAAGCTCTGGATATGCCAATGTTGCGCTCACTACACACGTATAGACTATTTCCATTTAGTAGAACCGTCCCTTTATAAAAGTGGTTCTTATTATGCATGACTGATGTTTACATGTCATGTTCTGAGTCATTACAAATAGGTGGAAAATATCTTGCACAAGTTGTCTAAAATAATCCCTTGTTTGTGTCTGTGGGAGAAGCCTCAATTAGACCCATCCATTTTCTACCTTATGATTCTTAAACCTACCACCTGGAAGAAGGCTTCATGGAGCCAGCAATGCATGAGCTGGTTGATGCATTCTGTTCCAGAGAAGTCCACTGAGGGCACAGAGAAATATCCTTCACCTTTTCAGAGGGTTTAAAGCTAATGAGCCTGAATATTCCACTATCGTGGCAGACTGGTAATTCTGCCCACTGGCCTGTCCATTCTATTCTGCCATAATCCTTTTTGGATGCACAAACCTATTGTGGGCTTGATGGTGCAGCTCGGCTTCCAAGTCTCCTGGGCTTGCTTACACATATAGGGTGAAACTCTCATTGGCTTTGTTCCTTTTTGGGAGGGTTTTCTTCATGACAGGAGCACAGCCAACCCTATATGTTGCTGAGAAGGTCCTTAGGTTAGTGTTTATTCTGTATTATAGCTGCCCATGCTGACCTGGGTAAGGACGTCACCAGTATGTTTTTGAACAGGAAGTGAAAGAGCTGTGGATTAAAATTCCATATGTATGCTCGCTGCAGCAAAAGATAATGCCTGGCTGTGCTGGTTAGAGAAACAATGGTCAAAGGCTGCTCATAGTACAGGCCAGAGGCATCTGTTTCCCTTCTAAATAGACCTGCCAAGAAGTGGAGCTGTAGTGCAGGTGGGATCATGACCTGTGTTTTGCAGTCAAACTGAAGGCTTGGATTAATCTTGACATACAGCTAGGGTACCATCCGCACTGCTGATTGGAACAGAGCTGTAAGTGGATCAGGATGTAATGAGGTTGTAAGTTGCCCCCCTGGCCTAGCTGCCCTAACGTGAATGGGACTACTGTATTTGAACCTGATTCTGTTGTCAGTGTAAATATGGCCAAATGTGCCAGAGAAGGTCTGTGTAAGACCTTTTGGAGTTGTGTTCTAGTGTTTTGTGAAATCAGCTGCTGAGTCTTTTTGGTATCAAAGTGGTACAAAATTACTTGCAAATATTAAGACTTCATGTCATTTTTTTTATGGAACATACAAGTGTTAGATGCTTTGGAAATTATTGTCTAATTACCAACTAAATCTTCATCAAAGCATAAATTGATCTATCCTGCTATTTGAAACTTGGAAAATAGCCCTTAGCGAAGAGGGGGGTTGCAAATGACATCAGCATTGCTCGGTTCTGATTACTGATATGTTCTTGCTCTCCTCCATAGATACAACACACAGAAGATATGGAAAATGAAATAGATGAGCTGTTACAGGAATTTGAAGAGAAAAGTGGAAGGACTTTTCTTCACACTGTCTGCTTTTATTAAAGCACTTCTGTCTTAGGCCTTAATACAGATGAGAGAAGCATGTGTGTAAGGTTCTGATTATACTGTACTTTCCTGGAAGATGAACTTTGATCCTTTTTTTTTGTTTGTTTGTTTGTTTTGTTAATAATTTTACTTTTCAGTGTTTTGTTTGTATGTTTCAGGTATTCTGCCACAGGCAGGCAGAGATACTGGCTGAATTGTACATATGCAAATGATTAAAAATATACGTAAAGGCCATCTATTTAAAAATACAAATCAAGATTTTTTTTAAATCCTACTTTAATTGTTACAAGTGGGGTTTTAATTATAAAGAGAATGTTTCTTGAATATGATACAGTTTATATTGTATTTTTCCAGCTTACAAATGTATTTTATTTTACCTGTGTATTTTTTTTTCTTATTTTAATGTAACTGACTGAATGGCTGCAATATGTGAAGATGTGAATGGAACAATGGAAAATTAGTATCTGTATATTATTAGGTATAACATTGGAAGCATCCAATAAAAGTGGAAATCTCCAATTCTGCCCAATCTCTTTGTCTTCACACCAGAAGCTGGAAAATTGGGCATTTTGCTTCTTGTGGTGAAACTGAAGCCCCGTTGAAAAGGTGGTTCCATACAAATTACCCAATTGAAGAGGATGGTCTTGTAGTTAAGGCCTCTGAATTAGGACCTCAGAAAATCAAGATTCTCTTCCTAGCTCAGCCAAAGATTTCACATGTGACTTCGGGCAACTCAGTAAATCTCTGATGCTGCTGTGGGATGAAATGAAGTCAATAGGGCCCTGCCTGCAAACTCCTCATTGCAGGAATCCAGGCCTCAAGTTCTGTGCCTCATTTTCCTATGTGTCCTGTATTCCTTGGGGTGCTGTGAGAGTATAAAAAAGCCTTTGAGGCCTTAAAGTTACAGTGGCTAAGAGCCGCAATAACAGATGTCTTCAGTCTAAAGGACGGGATCCTCAATAGAAATAGTTTAAAGATATTAAAGAAGTGTCTTTTGGGTCTAAATATTCCCTTCCAACGCGGTGAGTTATAAAGCAAGCTTGCATTGGACACTGACGCGTTCCTTATAAAAAGGGCAATGTCTCAGTCTAGTCTTCTTAACAAAACAATGGAATGCCAGAGATAAAAAGCCTGAACAGTGAAAAGTAAACTGGATTAATAGAAATTTGGAATTACCAAGTGAAGTGCTACTGGTTGGTTAAAGGCCAGAACACTCCTCGGTTGGTATGGCTTGTTTCAAAACACCCAGAGGATTTTGAGAACTAGATTTGTCCCCCATACTGATGATGTATGCAGAGGAAATGCAGAAGACCTCTGCTTATTAACCCGATATTGGGGTAGGACTCGGGACTCCTGCGTTTCGTTTCCATCATGTGATCTTGGACAAATCACTTGACCCGACCCATTTCACGAGAGTCGTTACACTTAAGTTGACTTCCATGGGATTTCAGTGCATGCTTGAAGCTAAGCGAGTACCTAAGTGTTCTCCTGAATCAGGTTGTCTGGGGATGATTACCTTGAGATTATGTGAAGTCTCCTGGAAATGCCCCAATCTGCCACTTACGTCCTTTATTAACAAACATGGATCCCTTAAAAAAGGACACTTTCTTGTTTCAATGTCGGGTGTCAACAATGCTGGAGGGAGGGGATTTAAAAGAGGGTATTTGTTAAGCAAAATCATGTTGTGTTTGTTTTCTCATCTGGTGCATTTTGTTCCTTGAGGCTATTTCCTTAAAGGCAGGACTTCACTGAACTTTGTCTGCTGCTTTTTTGTTGGTTTGTGACATCAGAGCTGGTTGCTGTGAGAATATTTGCAATCAAAGACGAAAGGGTAAAATGGCTCTGGAAGGGCTGAACTGCCTAGAGACGGATCCCTTTAAGAATGAGACATGCCGTGCATCCCTCCCATCACCCGGACTAATTTCCAGAGACCGAATAGAGGTGAGGTAGGATTGTTTTCTACCACTCCGTCCAGGAGATCTAGTGTTGAAGTGATCTGCTTTGTTTTAAACACTCTTTGTTGTTGCAAGAAAAGTCTAAACAGAGGATATTATTGGACATGTGTCAATAAACATGGGTTTTGGTAGCTTCTGCTTTAAGTGTGTGTCTGTATATAAAGTGTTGTGGAATCAAAATCTGTCACACTCACAGCACTACTATCTATGTGCACGACTAGGAGAGAATCCTGACTGTAGCCATTAAGTGTAGATTTATTTATAGAAACTTTAGTAGTTTGACCCAGAGTTCATTTTTTTCCAAAATGTGAAGCTGCTGTTCTGGCAGAAGATTGTCGTCTTATTCCTCTCTTTCCCTCTTCCTCCCCTGCAACACCCCCCCCCCCCCCAAAAAAAAAAAAAAAAAAAAAGCACACATAGGAAGCTTTGATCAAAAAGAATGATAGGAGAAATGGGTATTATGGAACAACCTGTTCCTTTTTACATTGCGCCTTGTTGCTCACAAATGAAATTTAAATTGGGAACTAATAAATTCTCTCTCGAGCAGGAGAGAGAGTGCCGATATTACCAATCTCCAAATTTCATTTGCCAAGCTGTGTGCTGAAGCGTGTTTAGTTAACAGCTGCCTGGATGTATAGACAACTGTTAAGAATGGCCCACAGCCCAATGCAAAGGCTTTCTAATTGCACTGCATGGAGATTGCTTCTCAGCCTTATCTTGCTGCGCTGCCTGCCTGAGTCACTCTGTGCTGACACACGTTGATTCAAAATGAAATGTATGCGGTGGCAGAGGCAGGATGGGTTTGTCTTCTATACAGAGCTGTGCATTTCTCTGCTGATCCCCAGTGCCTCTTTACCCAAGTCCACAACGGAGCCTGGTGACTGAGGGAACATTTTTGGGTACTTACTTTAAAAAACAAAAAACAATACAGATACCCCCCCACTCCTACCCAACCCGTCTTGAGCAATCAAGGTCAAAACTAACATCACTGCCAAAAAACTGCTTTTCAAGGTAAGGTTTGGACTGAGGGGAATAAAAGGAAGAGTGATGAGTCTGCCATTTTGAATAACGTGACGACACTCCATCAACCTACTGGGCTACGTTGTGAGGGAGGAAAACAAAAGCTCTGAGATGCAATTCTGCACCTCTCACCAGGCCGTCCAGATGAAAGCGGGTGTAGGATTCCAGGGTTTCCTCTGCATGGCTGTTGTGAGGTTGCTGAGGAGAAGGAATTTAGCAAGGGTGTGTTTGGAAGATTTCACGCTAAATAGTCTCCTGAATAAACCCTTGTGAAATTCCCTCCCAGGCATGTCAAGATATCCACACAGTGAAGAACACCAGATTGCTGAGTCTGTGTTTCTCTTTGTTTTTCTTTTACAATCCCCACTATGTTGACTTGCCGTGAAAGGCCACATTGATTTAAGAATCGTTTACGTTGATGTGTAAGTCTTTACAAGGCTTGTTCCCTCTTGTTGCTAAGAGGTTGGCATTATTTCTTCTGCTTGTGGATCACCCACCCATGAATTTGGGAAGGTTTCCACCTCCCGGGGCCCTAGTCCTTCAGAGGCTCCAGCCTTAATGGCTCTAGGGGTTTGCTGTGAGAGATGTGGAATTGTGCCAGTGTCCAGATCACAGTTTAACACCCCTCTTTTTACAGGAGTCATTTTGGTTCAGTGTCTCGGTTTTTCCTGCTGCGTGTTTTATCTCGACTTGTCCACAAAGTTCATAAAACTTGATGAAGGATCATTCTTCTCTTTTGTCAGAGGTCTCAGGATAATGTCTTTCAAATGGGCTTCTGGAAATAAGAATTGGTGATTAAAGGCAAATGTGTTCTTGGACTGACACTGCTGATCTTTCATCTTCTGCGTGTTTTGTTTTTTTTCCCCCTGCATGGCTTTCCACTGTTGCCATAGGAGTAAGTGCAAATGATTCAGTAGCTCTGCCTACAGTGAAGCAGAGAACCTCTCCCTAGGCTTGCAGTATTGCTGGAGACAACTGAGAAGTCTGCCCAGATGCTCTAGAGCAGTGGTTCTCAACCTTTTTTGTAGCAGGACCCATTTATAAACATTGATGACCAATTCTGACGTAGCCCCTCACTCTGGACCTGCTGCCCCCAGGCCCCAGCCTCCCCAGTGTGTGGGGCAAGGAGGTGTGTGTAGGGACTCTGCCAGCCTGCAAGGGAAAAGCTACGGTTTCCCATGTTTTTCTCCTTTAAAGGAGAATCTATTTTTAAAGTTTGTTTACAACTCTTTCATATATTCTTGAGACCAACTTCTAGGTTGCAACCCACAGGTTGAGAAATGCTGCCCTGGAAGATGGGAGCCACCCACCCTCCCTGCCTAGTTTCTTCTGTCCCATGTCTGCAAGTGCCAGGAGTGATGCATGCTGTTCAAACAGTCACCTATGCTGGGAGAACTGCCCTTGGCCCACAATGGGGAAAGCCCCTAGTTAACAACACTGATAGGCAAGCACCAGTAAGAAAAGAAACTTCTGCACCCAAACCAGATCACCTGTGTGTTTTACTGCTGCTTATGAAAGCAGTTCCATGATGCTATCCTGAGTCCAATCCTTCTCTCTCTCCCCTCAAAGTGGGACTGTGTTTTTTTTGGTCCATGATTGTACAGGAGAGCTAGAAGACTTCTACTGTAAGCAGCCTCCTGTGCGTCTCCTAACAGCTTTCGTTGCTAGGCTGGGACCCACAACTCACTGGGGGAACAAACTATTTTGAAAATGTTTAAATCTGCCTGTGAACCATCCAACATGGAAGCATGCAAGTTCACATTCCTCATCCAGCCCGGGCGCCACAGTACGCATCCTACGTGGGCAGCCATGGAAGGTAAGGACTCTCGAT